AGGGAGGAACAATGATCATCCGTCTCTTTTGTTTTACTGGATCCACGCGCAGACGAGCAAACCATCTCTGGAGGCGTCTCATGTGGAATAAACCCAGCGGGACCACTGTGTGAGCTGACGACATTGTTCCTAAAAGTTTCATGACAAAAACAGCTGTTACCACTCTGCCAGGTCTTACATGGCGGAGCTGATCTTTTAGAGTGTCGATTCTCGTTTGTGATAAACGAGCCCACATGGTGGTCTAGTTTAGCTCCACTCCCAGATAAACAATCGTCTGGGCCGGGAGAATCGAGCTTTTCTTCCAATTTATGGCGAAGCCCAGATTTAACAGGTGTGATGTCAACACCTGAGCCCGCATCGCTGCTTCCCGTCTGGAGCGTGACAGCAGTAGCAGGTCGTCCAGGTAAAACAAAACTCTCATCCCTGCTCTGAAACGGTTGCAGGGCCGTCTCCACACACTTTAAGAATGTACGAGGCACGAGGGAATACCCGAACGGCAGCCTGTTGTACTGATACGTCATCCCTTGACAGGAGAAATGCAGGAATTTTCTGTGTTTTGGGATGATCGGTATGTGGAAGTAGGCGTCTTTCAGGTTGATGGAAACAAACCAGTCATTTCTCTGGATGTTGTCCAACAGTTGTCTGGTTGTCAACATGTGAAACGGTATGTCCATGATCGCCTTGTTGAAAACTGACAGATCCAAAATCAGTCTCGTTCCTCCGGTCCGTTTGGGAACCAGGAAGTAACGTGAGTAAAAACCTGTGTTTTCCTCTCTGTCGGAACCCTGGAGATCACCTTTTTTACCAGAAGTTCTTGGACTTCTGCCTTTAGGAATGAGACTTGGTCTAGTGATGACAGGACCGTCTCTAAAATTCCTCCGAACGGAGGGGGTCTGGTTGCAAATTGCAGTGTGTAACCCCTGCTTAACCTGGTCATCCATCTGTCTGGTGAGCATGTTCGCAGCCATTCTGCATAACGTTTGTGGAGTGGGCGCGCGTTTAGGTGATGAGTTATGTTTTGTACGGATGTCATCCAGTCCACCGCCTCGACCGCCGTCATGTGTCGTGGGAATGTGTTCCGCGTGACCCAAGGTGAGGCTTCCTCGAAAGGGCTCTGAGCGCGCCTGTGTGCTGCGCTCGGACCGTGGGTCCACATTCATGTCTATGTGGACCGGCATGTGTTGAGGAGAGGCGTGTGAAAACTGATGACGCCGCGGAGGCGCGCGTTTGACACTACTGCGGTGAAACGCGTGTCGCTCCTGCTGTGAGCAGGGTCCTACACAGGGCTCACTTTGCGATCTCGCATTTATGCTGACATGAGCGGGCGAGTGCTGAGAAGCAGTGAGCGCGACTTCATCTACGCTGTGCCGTTGGAGTGAAGGCTGCGAGCCCCGCGGGAGCACACTTTTTTTGGTGAGACGCGCGCCGCTCTCGCCGGGAGCGAGGTTCGTTACTGGGCTTGCTCAGCTGTGTCACGTTTATGCTGATGTGAGTGGGCGAGCGCTGGGAAGCGGTGAGTGAAGGCTGCACGCGCTGCGGAGGCATGCGTTTGCTTCGGTGAGGCGCGTGTCGCTCTTGCTGAGAGCGAGGTCTCTCACCGGACCTGTCTTGCGGTCTCACATTTATCCCGATGTGAGCCGGTGAACGCCGGGGAGTTATGTGCGCGCCTTCATCAACGCAGCGCCGTTTGGGTGAAGGCTGTTCGCGTCGCGCGAGTGAGGAGTGTGCAGCTTGGGCTGAAAACGAGTTATATCGTTTACGACTGTTGTGTCATGCGAGCGTCCCGTCTCATTTTGGAGCAACGGTGATTTTGAAAACCCTTTTTTTAAGGACACCGGCTCGTTTTGTGTGGAGGATGTGTGCGCAGCCACTGTGAGTTCATCCGAACTTACAGACTGGCTAAAAACAGACACTTTAATCATTGAATGATGTTCATGTTTTATTTCAGCACTCGCGTCATTTTTACACAGACCCTCCGCAGATCGTCATTTTTTGAATCTTTCCCCCCATGAGCTCTGCGATTTGTTGGCGATCTCTGAGAAAACGCTGAACTGCCGGTTGCCAGGATGAAGAGGGCTGGTCTCTGACGGGCGGAGCTGGCAGTGGAGCTGCGTGAGACAACGCTGCCGTGGCCGTGGAACGTCGTTACTGCTGTCTCTGCTCACAACAATCCCTCCAGCGGGCCGGGGGGCGGGATGAGTCGCGCGGCTTGATGAGGTGGCGCACGGTCTCTGACACCTCCTCCGACTTTTTGGAGTTTTCCAACATGGCCTTGAAACTGCTCCCGAACAGCTCGTCCACCGTGATGGGGCCCTCCATCAGGTCTCTGCAGTTTTTCCGGCAGAGAGGAGGAATGACGGAGCCAGGTGGACCTCTGAATCGTTGTCATCCACACTGCAATTCTGGACAGGCAGACCGCAGAAGAGGCGTACATGTTGAGAATGGTGTCAGATGCCTTGCAAAGGGAGCTCTTCGTCTCCTCAGGCAGATCTGCGGCCTCCAGCCTCTTGGACACGCTATACGCCAACAGCGCCACGTTGTTGTTTGCTGCGGCTGCCTGAAACGCACACTGGTGAGCTCGATTGGAAAGCATGGTCACCGTCTGGTCATGTTTCCCAGGAGGGACGGGACGCTGCTCCAACCTGGACAGCTTCGCTCCGAAAGCTTCAGCCAAGCTCGGCTCCAGGGTGGGTACAGAGGGAAAGTTCCGCTCTGTGAACCCCTCCACTCTGGTGATGGGAGCAAAAGTGGAGACGGGCGCTCTCAATTTACTAGGACCGGCCGCGGCCTCGTTCCAATAGGATGCCACCGCTGGAAACCGAGGCCAGATCAGGGCGGCGAGCCGGAGTGAAGCCAAACCTTCCCACTAAATCATCCGATCTGGGCGGGGGGAGGAGAGGGACGGAAAGTCCGTTTGTGTCAGCAGCTTCCCGGATAATGTCGGGCAGCTCCGAGAGGAGGGCACCGACAGCAGGGAGCGATGTGGCCGTTGAGGCGGGAAAGCCCAGAGGGGTTGAGCATCCGCTCGGCCCCCCTTGTTCCAACACTACGCTCTCCGGGAGGGAGCGAACATCGGGGCTGCTGCTGACGTCGCCTGTCCCAGAGGAGCCATCCGATTCACTCCGAGAGCCGGCGTCGAAGAAGTCGATTGCATCGTCCAGCAAACAGTCTCCCGCCACAGACAGGCAGTCCTCGATGTTAGCCTTAAACAAGGCTACTCTCCTCTGCCTTTCCTCCGGAGGAAGGTCGTCACAGAGGCGGCAGGAGGAAGCGCGGGCGATGTGGCGGGGACCCAGGCATCCTTCGCAGGTGTCGTGCCGGTCAAAACTGAGCAAGTAGCTGGTCTTGCAGGACGGACACAAGCAGATGGTGTTGGAGCTTGACATCTTGTTGAACGTCAGTGTTATTAGCTTGCTGAAGAAAATTGGGAGCCGATTACCCGTTCTTAACATAACTTACACGGACCGGGTGGGGCCCACACAGCAGGTGGGCGTGGGCTAAACTTTTCAGTGTAATGTTTCGCATGACGGGATAAAACCCACTAAGCGACAGCTCTTAAAGGGCGAAGCCTATACGAAATAGAATATTCAGATTTATCAAACTGCACGTTTCTGCTCCTTTCCTTCATTCCATGCGCAGCGAGCACTCTACCATTTGAGCTAATCCCCCTGTACATACAGACATTGAGGATTTGGTTTGTTAACACTGAACATGACGATCAAGGTGCAGGACTTCACACATTTATCAAGGATCACAGTAGTCTCATAACTTTTCAATAATTGTGCTGTTGTGTTAACAAAATAGCTCAAGAACCGCTGGGCGAACTTTAATGAAACCATCAATAATCAATCGTATGTTGGAGTGAATTCAGTTCAAGATGGCTGGAACAGCTAATTAACATCAGCCCAAAGGGCTACAACTCTCGTTTCTTCTCATAACATGATCTTAGTCTAAAAGCACAGCATGGAAGTCAGCAGGTGATATAGTGTTTTATAACATTTATTTTAATTGCATTTTATTGTAGTTTGTTGTTCGTACTTTATGTTGTCTGTTTAAATCCGGTCTCTCTTGTAAATGAGTCCTCATGACTCAGTGAGACCAACTTGTAGAAATAAATATTGAATGAATGAATGAATATGCATTAGTTTTTTTAAACATCAGATCCTTAATTTGTTTGTCAGTCAGAGAAGAAGTGATTGAGTGTGTTCTGCGACTCAAAACATTCAAGCATCTCAAACTTTCACACAAAACACCCGGAAGAAATTACTTTCAACAACAGTTTATTTACTGAAAACTCAAAAAATGAGTGTTCTGTAGACGCGATCGATAAATGCATGTAGCAGAGAGCTGACAACAAACAGTTTTTAAAATGTAAATAAAAACAGTAGCATGAGTCAGTACACACTCAATGATGACCTGCCAACAGGGGACAAATCTTTAAGTAACTTTCCTTCCGGCAACAAATACTTAAAATTTCATGTAAAAACTTTTCAACAACAAAAAACAAAATAAAATGTTGTTCTTATTGAATTTGTGCGCTCGAGTTACAAACATGCTAAACTGCTACATAACCGTGTTGTTGGTCTGCAGGCAGCTTTTCTCAGCCTAAAAGTTATTTATAGTGGCAATAATCCTCGTGCAACATGAGACAAACTTCACATACCACTCATTCACAGTCAGTGTGTAACATTCTCATGCTCAGAAACCTTCGGTCTGCACAGCTGTGAGTCTTCACACCAAACAACGTTCCTGCTTTCAGCCGCCGTAACAAAAACTCAAAGCTTGATTTTAGACTCGAGCGTTAACCTTAATAACACGCCTCGTCTCGGTTCACATACAGTAGGCTCGCAACAGTCCTGCTACAGAAAGTTAGTGTGAATAAAATATAAATTAATAAATAGTTATTAAAAGTTTTAGTGGCTCAAGGAGTGTCCTGATGGCACTTTGGAGCTGTGCTCCAGAATAAGTTACATCAGCACAAAAAAAGGCAAATAAATTAATCAAAAGAAGCAAAGACGTTATTTTGAAAAATAAAAATGTTGGTGATATTTACAGACTCGTTGATTGTTTCAACAACCTTCATCCCAGGTTCTCTTGATTTTCTGGTTACTCGTGCTGAAATGTCTGGGATGTGTTTGTGTTTGTGTTAGTGCGGACGTGAAGACGACGGGGATGCAGAGTCGCTGCGTACGAACAGTTCGAGGGCGACGGGGCAGGTTACCAACAGATATGCATGTGAGAAAGTCACGAATAATGAGTTTCTCTAGGACGCGTGCAGAGCGGAGAAATAAATGAGGACAAACAGAGGAGAGATGGAAGATGATGGGGTCTGGGTGGGAGCCAAAGAGATTCAGTATTCATCCTGGTCCAGGTGAGCTTGATCATCGAGGTCCTCGTCTTCTGGAGGGGCAAAACCTTCCTGAGATACAAAAAAAAAAAAAGATTAAAATGAACATCTGAGCAATTTATTTTAACGAAATGACCAAAAGGATTCAGAACTTTTAATAACTAGTTTAAAATGTTAGCTTCTCTCCATCGACTCCCTGTCAAATCCTATTGTTCCACGTTTTCCTAACAGAAACCTTCGCCCTCAGACTGCAGGTTTACTTGTGGTTCCTAGAGTTTCCGAAAACAGAATGGGAGGAAGATCTTTCAGTTCTCAGGCTCCTCTCTTGTAGAACCAACTCCAGTTTCTGTCCATGAAGCTGACACATTGTCCAGTTTTAAGACAGGGATTAAGACTTTCCTTTTTGATAAATCCTATAGTTAGGGTTGGCTTGGGTTTCTGAGTTATCCCTTAGTTATGCTGCTATAGGCTTAGACTGCTGGAGAACAAATTGACCACATTTCTTCATTCTGCTGCTGATATCACATACAGATATCACTGACGTTAACCTTTTTACATTAACATTTATCTTCCCACACCTGGACCATAATAACTAAACCAGGACTATAGAAAATACACCTGGACCATAATAACTACACCAGGACTATAGAAACAACACCTGGACCATAAAAACTACACCAGGACTATAGAAACTACACCTG